TGTAGGAGTTCTGACTGTCAGTGCTCTTCCCTCGGTCCCACAGGCCAGTGATTGTAGAGATCCCTCACTTCGCCTCAATAGGCCGGGGGGATCGGGAGCTGGTGGTCCTGCGCAGTGAGAACGGGTCTGTATGGAAGGAGCACCGGAATCGCTATGGCGACGAGCTGCTGGAGACCATCCTTAATGGCATGGATGAAGGTGCGTGTATTCACCTCGTGAAGTCCAGTCAGGTCAGGCTTGTATTCATGGCGAGTCTGCATTAGCAGCATGCCTCACTGCTGAAGTACTGATTATAGGCAATGACTTGATCCTTTGCGATGGTCTGCCGGGTCAGACTCCACTCCACTTCACTACAACCATCTAAGGATAAAAAAGCTTCGGATAGAAGATAAGAACATGAGAACAGCTACGAAAAAAAGGAGACCTTTTGGCTCATATAGCCCGTTTAGTATTGAGTGGCAGCTTGTTCCCTACTCTTACAGCACTTTGGGTAAAGTAGTGACCCTATTCTGAGTTTTAAGAGCACTTCCACATTGTCACCACTTGTTGCACTGTTCATTCTGAAAAAGTCCTCTCGGTTAACATTATTGAGGCCCTTGAGGACTTTGAATACTTGTACCTGGTGCCCTCATACTCTGAAGACTGAAAAGGTTCAGTTCCTTCAGCCTGTCAGTGTAGGCCATTCCTTACAGCCATGTAATGTATCTGCTGCTCCTCTCTAGACTGATTCCAAAGGAGCGATATATTTTATATAATGTGGCAGCCTTCACTGTACAGAATATTCTAGATAAGGCCTTACTATTACATTATACAATTTTGACACATTTCTGGATTCAGTTCTTGAATTGGATTGGTAGTGCTTACTGACTAACCTTTTACATACCAGCCCTTTTTTTAGTTTTGCAGTTTTAATTCTATTTACAATTTTAATCATCCCTCCATCTATTTTTTGGGTATAACTGCTTCATCCAACATAGGGCCTCAGTGGCCCCGAGTCTATCTGAGCTGGAAACAGACATAAGGCCGGATACACTCTGGATGGGACTCCAGTCTATCTTAGGGAACACACAAACAAGGACACAAACATGCACACTCACACAAGGGCTATTTTTCCCAGAAGCCCAGTAACCTGGTAACCCACATGAACACAGGGAGAACATTCAAGCTCCACACAAAGAGCACCCCAGAAACTGAACCCAGGGCCCCAGTGCTGCAAGACACCAATCACTGCTCCACCATGCCACCCTGGTTTTAATCATGTTCGATTCAAAACACGTCTGATTATAATCCTTATTCCTGCACGCTTTAATATGGGTAAGCTTTTTAATCCAACATGTTAATACATTGAGCTGAGATAATAAAAAACATAAACATTCTTGAGCTTGTTTCCCATCTAGTTATCTTGACAGTGCTGAGATGAATTGTGGGCCCTTCTGTGACTGAGTACAGGAGCGCCCAATTCTCAAAGATAAATTGGCAACAAAACTGAGGCAAATTTCTGTCTTCACAGCTTGTCCTCAAAGACAGGGCTCATCGGCTGTTCTTACTAGACTGCAGAAATCTTTCTTCCCCACTGCCGTTTCTCCCTGAAACAATGTAGATAAACTCTCTTATCTCCGGCAACACTATTTTACTGTCTTCTATGTTGGTAATGTTTGCGGTATCGGACTATGCAGTGAAACAAATTTCCCTCAGAGGATAATAAAGCTTGAATTGAGTAAACAGGCTTGCTTACATAAAACACTTTACCAACATTTTTTTTAAATTTGGCGACGGGTGTGCTTCTGTTTTCCCATTTCGAGTGCTGACTTCATTACAAGCCCTCGTGAGAAGCTGCGTGCCCTTGTAGCGGAGCTAGTGGGGTGACATCAGCGCCCTCACTGCGCGTAGCAGGGCCCTCAGCTGCCCGGGCTGAGGGAGGTCTCCTTTAGCCTGCGCGATTGGTTCCCTGTGGCGTTACGCTGGAGACCCGGCTTCGCGCCCCAGGTGTGGGGGGTACGGAACCGCAACGATCACACCCTGTTGGACAAGTGTTGGTTCCCCTGCGGGTGCTGATGTGAGCGCTGCTGTTTGTGCTGTCAGATCTGGAGAGCCAGGAGGAGCTGGGCAAGAAGAGGATTCGGAGGATCATTTCCACAGACTTTCCCCTCTACTTTGCTGTGGTGTCCCGCGTGCAGCAGGAGAGCGACCTGATTGGCCCAGAAGGGGGGCTGCTCACCAGCAGGCTCGTCCCATTGGTCCAGGCCACCTTCCCGGAGACAGCGGTTACCAAGAGAGTGCGGCTGGGCTTGCAGGTGAGGGCAGGGCCGGCTGCAGACGGGGCTCAGATCCAAACCCTTCCCATCACCAGTCTGCTGATTTTAGTATTGCTTTGCTCTTGAAATGTTCTCAATGTAGACTCTCTTAATTTATTGCCCTTACTTGCTTTGCAAGCAGGTAAAAGTCACAAAACATTACCTAATACATCTAGAACAACATTAACAGATATGAAACATACATATAAAACACAAATAGATAAAGCAAAATATCCAATCAGTTCAAATTAAGCAGGTTAATAGTCCTGGGAATAAAGGATACCTTAGTTCTCTTGCACTTAAATCTTTGTAGTCTAAATCGACTACAGGGCTACAGAGGCTACAGAGCCCTGATGCTCAAGGGATGTTTGTAACAATTAATGTCTGACAGCTGTCAGTGTTATGCACCAATAGGCTTGCTGGCCAGCTTTGCTTTCTTGCTCAGACTGTTTTTACTACATGTATTAAAGTCACTAAAACAAGGCGACCGCAGTGAATGCTAGGACAGATTCTAGAAAACCTCTATGGAACAGAGTCGTCATTGTGGTGCACACGTTAAAAGAGCGGAGTTTTCTCAGGAGGAGCGAGAAGGACAGGGCCTTATGAACCTCTCTGTGTCCCGCCTGCCCCGCTCCCAGGCCCAGCCGGTACCGGACGAGCTGGTGACGAAGCTGCTGGGGAACCAGGCCACCTTCAGCCCCGTCGTCACCGTGGAGCCACGGCGCAGGAAGTTCCACCGGCCCATCGGCCTGCGCATCCCGCTGCCGCCTTCCTGGAGGGAGAACCCGCGTGACGCAGGGGAGGGCGACACCACCAGCCTCAGGCTCCTCTGCAGCGTCATTGGTATGAGTGTTGGTGTTGGTACTGGGGGACGGGGAGTCGGTACTGGTGTTGGGGAGCAGGGCGTTGGTATTGGTGTTGGGGACCAGGGAGTAGATTATGGTTTTGGGGGGCAGGGAGTTGGTGTTGGTATTGGGGGGGCAGGGAGTTGGTGTAGGTATTGGGGGAGAGAGATTTGGTGTTGGTATTGGAGGACAGGGAGTTGGTGTTGGTATTGGAGGACAGGGAGTTGGTGTTGGTATTGGAGGACAGGGAGTTGGTGTTGGTATTGGAGGGACAGGGAGTTGGTGTTGGTATTGGGGGACAGGGAGTTGGTGTTGGTATTGGGGGACAGGGAGTTGGTTTTGGTATTGTGGAGCAGGGAGTTGGTGTTAGTATTGGGGGGACAGAGAGCTGGTGTTGGTATCGGGGGCAGGGAGTTAGTGTTGGTGTAAGTATGAATATTGGTATTGGTATTAAGGGCAGGTCATTTGAACTGGGTTGGGGGTGTTTTTTGGGTACTGACTGATGCACGACACCTTTGCATCTCCCCCAGGTGGCACCGACCCGGCTCAGTGGGAGGACATCACTGGCACCACCAAGCTCATCTACGCCGACGAGTGCGCCCGCTTCACCACCAACGTCTCAGCACGGTGAGGACAGGGGGCTGGTGGTTGGGGGCATGTGCTGTGCCTGGAGGGGTGAATGGAAGTTCGGGGGGTTATTGTGAACGTGTTGGATGTGTGTTCAGCAGCTGTTGTCCACTTTTGGGGATATGGTTTTGCCTGATCTGTATGTGCTCAAGAACTCAAGAAGTGCTGGTGGAAAAGAAGACAGATTTTTGTCAAGTCAGGGGGGAAATGCTGCACCCACAGAGGGTGGATTGACTCCTCTTCCTCGCTCCCTGGCCAGGTTCTGGCTGGCGGACTGCCCTCGCACGGCGGAGGCGGTGAGCTTTGCCAACCTGCTGTACAAGGAGCTCTCGGCTGTGCCCTACATGGCCAAGTTCGTGATCTTCGCCAAGATGAACGAGGCCAGGGAAGGGCGGCTGCGCTGCTACTGCATGACCGACGACAAGATGGACAAGACCCTGGAGCAGCACGAGAACTTCACCGAAGTCGCCCGGAGCCGAGACATCGAGGTCAGGGATGTGGAGAGAGAGGCGGGGGGTCCCGGGAGGGTAAAGGGGGTCTAGCAGTAAAAAAGGGACAGGGGGAGGAAGAGAATTGATTCAGAGACTGCGGGAGAGACAGAGGGATTCAGAGTCTTGGAGACAGAAGGGGGCTGGGAAGAGAGGAACCAGGATGTGGAGCATCTTGGAGCTGGAGAGGAGCTAGGAAAGAACAAGGGATATTTGGAAAGACAGGGGCTGGGAGGGAGTGGAATGAGCAGTGTCTGTATGTCTCTGTTCTCCTCCCCACTGTTAGCTGGTGTTCAATGAGTGTACTGGTGCACCATGGCTGACGTCACTTCATCCAGGTGCTACATGGTGGTGGTGGAGTGGAGTCCCCATTACCTGTAAAGTGCTTTGAGGGAAGCATCCTGAAAAGTGCTATAGAAGTATAAGGAACTGTTTTTATTAGTCTTTGAGTATTTCTGTGCTGCCCCCTGCAGGTGTTGGAGGGAATGCCACTGCACCTGGAGTGCTCGGGGAACCTTGTTCCAGTGAGGAAGGCCACGCAGCAACCCCGCAGCTTCAGCTTCCAGGCCTTCAGGGACAACAGGCTTCCAGTGTCTGTCAAGGTGACCCTTCTTTCAATTCCCCTCCCTCTCTGTCCCACTGCCCCCTCACCGGCTCTGTCACTGTCTTTCTCTTCAACATCTGTCTTCTCCTTCTCTGTCTGCCTCTTTCTGCGCAAAAGTGCACATGTCCAGACTGGAAGATGATGATGATGATGACTCTAACGAACCCTTCCTCTTTCCACCCCAGGTCCGTGACAGCAGCAAAGACCCCTCAGGATTCCTTTCCTTCCTCCGCAAGTCCACCAAGTATGAGGACAGCCAGCACGTGCTCTGCAACCTCAACATAACCATGCCTCCCTGCATCAAGGTAGCCTCCTTCTCCCCCATCTGTCCTGAATGTACTGGGCCAGTCAGCCTCCTGCCCCCACCCCCATCCGGTTTCTCTTGTCCTGATGTGCTTGGGTTTTGTGCCAGGTGGTGGGCAGTGAAGACCGAAGACGGACGCTGACCCCCCTGGCCCTTCGGGAGAGATACAGTGCCCTGAGCGAACCGACCATGGGTAAGCCTCCCCTCTCCAGGTCTTCAAGCTCGGATCCTCGCAAGTCTCTTAGACATTCTCAAAAATCAGTATGTGCTGGCGCATGTCCGTTCCCCAGAGAGAAGGCACTTGGGCAGGGAGAGAAAGCAGTGCTGCAGGTGTTCCTGCAGATCACAAAATGAACAGCATCGCCGCCTCCGGAAGTTGAAGATCAGCAGCTGGAGGCGTGAAGGCTGAGGTCTGAAAAAGAGATATACTTGAGGAGAGAGGTGTAAAAGGGGTTTCTGTTTTCCAGCCTCGATGAGCGCCATGGAGAGGACAGAACTGAAGATGGCCTTAATATCGGAGCAGCTGGGGCTGAGCTGGGCAGGTGGGTGTGTACGCACGTGTGAATATCTCTCTGTTCACGGCCAGGCTCCTCTCTCGACGCACAGACAGCAGCTGAAACCCTGGATCTTCAATCAGTTAACTCGCTGCTAGAACATCTGAGCTCCCAGCTGCTAGAATAATGGGTGTTGAATGACATGACAATGACATGACAATGAATAAGATTGAGGAAAAGAATGAAAGTACTGTATAAACACCCTCAGAAACAAAGCTGTTCACTAATTAACAGACAGTGTTTATTAGGGTTAGTAAATTAGTGAACAGCTTTGTTTCTGAGGGTGTTTATACAGTACTTTCATTCTTTTCCTCAATCTTATTCCCATCTCCAGTTAAAACCATTTAAAAAATAACAAGAAGCAAAACACTATCATCACCTGAGGAAAAGCTGGAAATTAGGTGGGAATTAATTTTGCTTAGGGGGCTCTGTTGTTGAGAGATGTTACAAGTGTTTTAAAGACTTACTGTAACTTATTGCTGCAGATGAATGAATAATTATTCTCTGCATTTATTCCTTTTCTGCTTTGTGATTTAGTAGTTGTTGCGTCCTAGCGTTATTCCGGCAGGAAATTGTGGCTGTGTGTTCCCACGAGGCGTGTGCTCTTGTGTGCTGACCTGTCTGTTGCAAGATCAGTAACCCCATCTCTGTGCTCCTCCTGCCCTCTCCCCTCTGCGCCCAGAGCTGGCGCGCGAGCTGCAGTTCAGCGTGGACGACATCAATAAGATCCGGGTGGAGAACCCCAACTCCCTGCTGGAGCAGAGCTCGGCGCTGCTGAACCTGTGGGCCACGCGGGAGGGCAAGAGAGCCAAGAGTGAGCCGCCCCTCTTCCCTGCTGCTCCCCCAGTTGCTCAGGCGTCATGGGGTTCGCCCCCTGGTGGTGACAGAGAGACGGTGGAAACATATCATCATCATCATCATCATAATAATAATAATAATTGCTTACACTTATATAGCGCTTTTTCTGGACACTCCACTCAAAGGGCTTTACAGGTAATGGGGACTCCCCTACACCACCAGTAATGTGCAGCCCCACCTGGATGATGCGACGGCAGCCATAGTGCGCCAAAACGCTCCCCACACACCAGCTATCAGTGGGGAGGAGAACAGAGTAATGAAGCCAATTCATAGAGGGGGATTATTAGGAGGCCATGATTGGTAAGGGCCAATGAGAAATTTGACCAGGACGCCGGGGTTACACCCCTACTCTTTTCGAGAAACGCCCTGGGATTTTTAATGACCACAGAGAGTCAGGCTCAGTTTTACGTCTCATCCGAAGGACGACGCCTGTTTACAGTATAGTGTCCCCGTTGCTGTACCGGGGCATTAGGACCCACACAGACCGCAGGGTGAGCACCCCCTGCTGGCCCCACTAACACCTCTTCCAGCAGCAACCTTAGTTTTTCCCAGGAGGTCTCCTATCCAGGTACTGACCAGGCTCACACCCGCTTAGCTTCAGAGGGCTGCCAGTTGTGAGTTGCAGGATGATATGGCTGCTGGCCTCCAGACCATGAGGCACAGTGATTGATCAGCACCATAGCCCATCATAGCGAAGAGGTGTAAAAATCTGCAAATATATAGACATCAAGAACAAGAGCTTCAGTCATGTTCAACCTCCTTGGGCAATATATCACAGTAGGTGCAGTGTTACTGAGAACTTTCCCAGGTTGAGTATATGGTCCTCAGAAATCAAATTTGTCAATTTATTAAGTTACAGAGCCAAAGGAAATAGACATTAAGGTAACTCAATTTGTATACATGATATTCATCTTTAGACAAATTGAAAATCAACTATACTTTCCCATAATGCTTTTATAAGTACAGAATATTTCTAAACATAAATCTGCTGTCAGTGAGTCAGTTTCTCTACAGACTACAAAAAAGGCTTGGTGAACAGCGTTCATTCTCTTTGCAGTGGAGAGTTTGTACGCAGCGCTGAAGAACATCGACAGGTCAGACATTGTCAACATGCTGGAGGGCACAGGGCCTCAGCCCAGGGTGGGGAAGGAGAGTCGGAGATACACTGACAGAGACCACCTGCTCTCGCCCAGCATGACCAATGGTAAGAAGTGACCCCTGACCCCCAGCCCTATGATACCCTTGACCTAGCTGCTTCTCCACTAGCCCACCAGCTCCCACAGCCTGAGGGTGCATTTACACTTGGCCTTTTGTACCTTTCCTGAAACACCTCCCTGCCTGGGCACTCAGGCCCTTGAGTGAGCATTAGGGCACATGCAATATCTGTTTGTGTGGGACAGTAACTACCCAGAGTCTGAGTTTCGGCACCTATTAAACATAAGACCCACTTTGTACAGGTTAGGTAGAGAGTTAAAATAATTTCTTGGCTTTACAGGTTTATAGCTGTCCAAGTAGTGTCAGTTTGAGACATGCCAACAACAGAGCTCACTCTAGTAACACCTGAAGCCAAGAATCAAAGTGTTCGCCGCCCATTCCTTGTCCTACTCTGCAGTGATGAAGAGAGCTCTGTTGATTTGCATGGCCTGGTTCTTTTTTCTATGCCTAATGGGCCTTTTCTTTACTGATGTGTAGCTGTGAACTGGCTTCCCCAAAGGGCTTGGTATTTACCATACCTTTGTGACTAATAGGAGCCCTTGTCACTTCTCTGCGTTGTTAAATTAGGCAATTAGGAAACGGGGAGAGTTTCCTCTTCCTCTCATTGTCCCTTTGTTCTGGTTCTTCTCTCCTTTGGGAGGAATGTGTGCCCAGTGTAAATGCACCGCAAGAGACCTCTAACATCAGAATGGAGCCCTTTCCCTCCCGTTCCCTTAAGCCAGCACAAGATCTACAAGCTTCAAAGTGAATACCCAGACACAAAATGGAAAAAAAGGATGTATCTCTGTATTCTTAAATCATGTCAAACAAAACCCAACCTTTGCTGCCTAGAAATGTAAACAGATTTTCTGTTTCCACATCTGCATTATGGTTACAATCCTCGAGTGAGCAGTATATATATTGCGTCCTATGTTCATGGGATAAATTGTAAAGTTATTTGTGCCGTAATGAAAGTGTCTGGAGCACTGTCAAATTTTATAATACTATTATAATGGGAAGGTCTGATATTTGTATGAAGAACTCCTCTGATCGGATCCATGTTTAGAAAGGAACACTCTGCTATAAGTTTCTCAGCATTTGCATTTGAGTTTACACCCTACACAAACTCTGCTCTGAGACTGGAAGCGTGACATCCCTGCCCACTGGCTAAAAAAAAAAAGCATCATGTTTAAATTGTAACCTTATTTTTTTTTCTTGATTTGTCATCTGTAAAGGTAGGAAATAAAAAAGAATATTAGTGCTGAAATTTCTGTTTATAATTTAACAGTACCTAAAGGGATAGCTCGTCGACTCTACGGTACGTTCTGTCACAAAGATCTGTATGAAGTCGTTTTCTTTTTCATAAGCAGAACACTTATTTAAACTGTGCTGTCAATGAAGAATGAGCCTTTGCAGGGACAGATCTGTATTAAAAGTCTAATGGCGCTGTTACACCACAGATACTGCAGGTGGCACTTAAGTATTGTGCTTGTAAAAACTAGATGCTGCAGTGCTACAGTATAACCATAACTTTGTGTTTACAATGCTCTGCAGGTACATCTGTTCTAAGAGTGCTGTGAAAGTATATCTGTGATGACCACCTTCTCAGGAAACAAAGTAATATCCTCATTATATCATTAATATAACTTAAAAAACACAATAATTCAAAAAGGCATAGGCTTCAGCTTTACTTCTTGTCCTAAGGACATACACAGTACAATATGCCATTACATGCACCTGTTTAAAGGTCTGTGCCAAGGAGACATGCCTGCTGATGAGAACATTACTTTTCCTGGGAAGACATTCAGTTATTTGACTTTATGTTAGCAACGTTTATGTATCAAATGAATTGATCTTGTTAATGTGTATAACAGCTCCCTGCACTGTCTGACTAGGGTGGCAGATATTAACCTGCAGAGTAAAGCTTTCCTGGTCATGTCTGAGTTCAAGCCTCACTGCAGGGAACACACGGACAATCTATTTGCACGACTCTTGCCAATTTAATACTAAACAGATGTAATGATTAGTAAGGATGTGCTCCTTCATCCTTGAAGCACACTTGAAGATTGCCTGTATGGTGGCCTTGTGTTGTTTCCATGGCCTGTGTTCCTGGAGTAATCTGTGCAATGGGACACGGGTATCTGCCTTGATCTACTGGGAATGGGCAGTCCAGGCGGAAATGTCCAGTCTCGAGCACACTGTAACAGTCCACGTTTCTGACCCACGTATTAGTGCCTGCACTCCTGTACATGGTCTGTGATATAACAGCACATTCTGATACTTTCAACTGCCGGATGGTTTAAGACCTTGACGGTTCGGTAGGTCTGGCTGGGGTTTAAGAAAAAAAAGCCTAGAAAAAATCCACAAATCCAGGGTGCAGGATGCAGGGTTGAGAAGGGTGATTTGTTTCACTTACTGTGTTTTTAAGTAGCGAGTTTTTACTGCACCTGCCTGAAAGCGTCTTTCAGAGACCTTTTTTAGTGTAATGAATTCTGATTTTCAAACGCTGGTGAACTTCATTGGAATGTTTTAATTACAAGTACAAGGGAAATCAGATTGTGTGCTTTTGTGGTAAGAGGCTTGAGTAAACCAGTAATCCCCGTTAATCCAGAAACATGTCCCAGCATGCGGTGTCTGGAAGTCGTGTAAAAACGCTGTCTCTCCCCTGGGAGCTATTGTGCCTTTTTCCTCTGACTCTGTCCCCTCTTTGTGTTTCTCTGAACATGTCATCTTCTGGAGACTGCCCAGCTGCCCTGTCTTCCTCTCACCTCTCTCCTCTGACCTCTGACCTCATGTTGGCCTCATGTTGACCTCTGGCTCTATCATCCTTTTTCTAGTCGTGCATAATCCACTGTGCCCACCTCAACAATGCCCCCCCCCCAAGGGGTCCTTACCTGCCACTTGGTTATATTTAGGTGTCCTCTGCATGTGCCTGACCAGATCCCACTGTTTCTCCCTTTGCTTTGTCTCAAAACAAGGGGCAGGACTGTATCAAAGTCTGATGTAGTGAACTAACAATGTGTTTGTGCATGGCATGACTATTTCTCTTCTGTGTCTCTTTTTCTCTCTTTCTCTCCTATTGGGCGGTGTGCTTCAGAGGTGGTTTATGGACTGGTGTACTGTTTTTTTTACTTGGTTTACTTTTTTGTTTTTTTCTGTCTTCTAATTTCTTTTCTGCAGTGGTGTTACCAGTGGTCCTTGTAGCCTAGTTTGCAGTGTGTCTGTGGTGTTTTGTCTGTCTCTCTCCCTGTGTGGTGTTTAGTGGCTCTGGCATTGTTTTATATGTGGGTGATGATCAAAGTCACTCAGTACCATTTCTGTCCCATTTCCTCCCATCCTTCTCTCACAGTGACTGTGTGTATGTGTGTCTCTGTGTACATCTTCTAAGTTGGGCATTGCAGTCATGCTTCTTTTCCATCAACTCAACATGCTCACGTTTTTGTTCTTCCTCCCTTTATTTTGAATTTTAAGTATTTCTCAAATACAACACTCTTTCTAAAAGCTGAGTATAGCCCTGCCTTCACCCAGTCACTTGTTCATTATTAGCAAGCAACCAGGATCAATAAGAGCTTTTGCTGTCCAAAAGCAGGGCTGATGAAACAATTGACATTTTTCACCTATTTCCTGAATGTTAATCAACATATCAATAGACATTTAGTCTTTACAGCATATTTCTGTAGCGAGCACATACTAGCATAGCAATCCACTAGATGCAGGCTGGACCTTTAAGCTTACATCTGTAATTATACTGATTGATATGTGCAGGGAAGAATTAACTGAGGACCAGCTGCCCATTGCAGTACAAGTACTGGGCACTAGGAGGTTGCACAGCACAGACACCCAGTGAATGAAGAAATCATTCCAGGTTATCCTCAAACCATCACCCAGACAGGCCCCTCCACAATCTTTGGTCCTTTGCCCTTCTCCCGGGACACTTTTAGAGGACTCGTCACCTCAGTGGTGATGAGTGTGGGGGGGGGCAGTGTGGTTAAAGAGCCCAGCTGGTTGGGTGTCATGAATACCTCCTGCACACTCAGCATTCCCACAACCCAGCTCAAAGTCACCCCTTCCTCACACTACACACACTTTCTAACTGCTGCTCGTTGAGAACCTGGCCAGCTCTGTAGAAATCTATTTCAGCTGCTCCGACGAGAGGCAATATTCAGCATTTTTTCACATTTTATAAACTGACAATCTGCCATCGCTCTGTCTTGTTTTTCTTTCAGTCTGAATTCACTGACTTGATTGATTCAATACGAAGAGAACAGAATTCTGGACAGCTTTCTCATCCCTCTTTCCTCCCATGCTGATCCATGCGTTTAGCATTTAAAAATGTCTAACTTCCATGTCTAGCAGATTGATGCTGAGTATACACACACATCAAAATCTCCATCAGACCTCCCCCCTCTGTTTTGTCAGTGTGTGGGAAAGTGGAGAATTGTAACAGTTGGATCGGGCTGATACGTGGGTTAACTGTGACTGGAAGGGGTTTGGCTTCATCTGTGGGTCATTTAACAGTGAGTCCTTCAATCTTCAAGACTGTTCCTCAGTTTAAATGCTGCTATGTGTTCATCTCATTTTAGTGTGCGTCCAGGTAACTCTTGTCAGTGCAGTACAAAACAAAAAAATCAAGCCCTTCAAATTGATAATAAAGGTAGGACTCCCTGGCCCTCAATGCTATTCTCTTTGCACTGTCTCCATTGCTGAGGAGGTGGCAGCTCCAGACCTGGGTCTCAGTGTGGGACACAGTGCCCCCTACAGGACTGAGACAGTCAGTGCTCTCCAGTGTCCCATGCCAGGTGTCCTCTTAGCAAGGCATTCTTACAGTGCTGTGCACCACTACTCGTCTCGCTGTCATGACACAACCTATCCACCTCTATGAAAGGGGCATTGGGCAGCATTGTAGGACATTCCACCAGCGTGAACAAAAGAGCCAAACGGTTATCAGGGTGTATGTGATGTTCATTGAGCATGACCAGACAAGAACAGTATATTTTGGTGTTGTTGGGATTAGCAACTTTCAGATTCTATTGCTCTCATTTTGTCCACTGAGGGAAGTTTGAGTCTGTCTCACTCTGTTAGCAGGAAGGCAAGATGTTAAAGAATCCGAGGCTTACAGACTTGTTTTTTGTTGGTGTCATGAAATTATACTTCCTGAGGCAGCTTTTTCATAGAGGAAAGACCAATTAAATGTGGTGATTTGACATGCAGGAAGATGTTGATGTTCTGCTGAAGAGGAGGATGACAGACAATCTTCCAGCCAGAGCCCTGTTTTCATGAGCTTCCTGCCCGTGCTTTCTGTGCTGCCATTCCTACCTCACTGCTTCACTCTCACCCTGCACTCTACTCACCCAGATCATTTCATTGCTGAAGG